TCATAAAGCGAACACACAGTGCTTTCATACATTTTAATATTGCAGGATTATACTCTGGATTTGTACTTACGACAAATATGGAAAGATCCACGATTGGCCTGGGAGAGTGATGTGGAGTCCTCATTAACAATAGGTAAGATCTATTCGTTAACTTGTTTGGGTATTGATTAGATGGAATAGTGTCTCAATGATGGAAACATCTAATGACGTTGTTATGTTTCATTATTCCATTCTACTTTCGTTGTACTGTGATTAGAATAATGAGTTCGGGAGGAATGAATTCTATAAACAGCTGAGATAGTGATACAAGCCACTGAGAAGGTTTCAGAGAGCTAGTAAGACGAGCAGTAGAATGTGTGTTACGAAGATTGGGGAGAGCGCTCTAAGTTGGTACTCTACTAGAAATTGGTGGAAAGTTAATTCATTTTTTTTTACTATATGCATGAATGAGATTAAGTAGATAGAGAACGAACAGTAGTATCATCATAGGCTTGAAGCTATGAATACACTTGAGTTGAATCATACAAGGATAGATTTTGATTGTTGGAATATATAAGTGTATTCCTTATAAATTTGGGTGGCCAGCTTACCCTCGAGGAAACGAATGAACAAAACTAATTATTGGGCACAATTGCCGCTTTCTTTTATTTGCTCAGAAAGAAATAGAAAAGGATATAGAGGTTGGGTTAGTTACTGGGCATAAGAGCTTTACCACATTTCTTATTCCCCCTCCCTATCATGTACTCATCTTAGTGTCTAACTCTTCAGCCATGAGAGTATAAAGAAAGATAGCAACATAGGGGTTTGGGAATTGAATGGAGATAGAGAAAAAAAAGCGGATATTCATGTTTTTTCTTTTGTCATCTCTTACAATGTTCCATTCCAGGAATTGATATGGTAAAATCTATTTGGACCCCAGACACATTTTTCCCGAATGAAAAGAAATCTTTTTTTCATGAGGCTACATCCCATAATTCATTTCTGCGGATAGATAATCACGGCAACGTTCTACGAAGCATTCGCCTGACAGTTACAGCAAACTGCCCCATGAATTTACACACAGTGAGTTCTCTTTCATCTCTGTTTTGCCTTTTTTGTTTTCTGCTCTCAGAAAGTAAATTGAAATTCCATTGACTAACCCATTCTCATCATGTTCTTAAAACAGTTGCTTTTTCTTCATCGAGCCTTCCTTAATCCTCAACACGCTGTTTTTCTAAACAGCCTCAAAACAGTTGCAATTTTCAACCTCAGCAGCATCGCTTCTATTGTAGGGAATCTTACCGAAGATTCTAGTCTTCCATCTAGACTCACTGAACGGTTGCATTCTCAAATGACCTCACAAAACGGTTGATATCTCAAAAACAATCTCAGAGCGGTTGCATTCCCGAAGGCTATGCCAGAATAAGAACAATCAAATTGCACTAGCACAGACAGACCTGTTGCATGTTTAACTCTCCGACAAGAGGGTGCATTCTGGCTGTTAAGGGATGTTTTCAGTTTTTTGAAGATATTTTTTTGGAATATTGATGTCTCCATGCTCTTTCTCTCTCTCTCTCTCTCTCTCTCTCTCTCTTTCATCTTAAGTTATTATTCTTCTGATTGATAATGTTGTGCTTTGCTCTGGCTTCCATGATTTCATTTCAAATGTGCCTTCTGTGTACTCTTCCACATCACTAACATATGCTTTTCAGTTCCCCCTGGATATTCAAGAATGTGCCTTGGAAGTTGAAGTAATTAATATTTTTATTATACTAATCATCATTTTCTTGTTTTAGAGCTACGGGTACTCAACAAGAGATATTATTTATCATTGGCACGGCTCCAACGCTGTTACTATAGATGAGAATGTTCATCTTGCTCATTTCTCTATTGGTAAACATTGGTTTTACGAAAGAGTCATTTCTTTAAGTACAGGTTGGTTGATGTGCTTTATGCTTTGTTTTTAAGCAATGAAAGTTTAGGTAATTATTCACGTTTGACAGCCTATTTCACATTTAAACGGAATATCGGATTCTACTTAATTCAAATATATTTTCCTTCCTCTCTGATTGTTGTAATTTCATGGGTCAGTTTTTGGTTGAACAGGGATGCTGTCCAAGCTCGTATATCTATTGGTAAGTATGCAAAAGCTTATGAATTTCAACTTGTTTACAATATAATTTGACTTGAAAACTAAACTTTACGTTTTCTTAGTTCATTTAATCGCTAGAATTACTTTCTCTCTGTGTTTTTTAAAAAGAAAACAGATACATTGAACATGCTTCTCATATTACTATTTTCAGGGGTCACTACTGTTCTAACCATGACTACACTTATGACCAGTACAAATGCTAGTCTTCCCAAAGTTAGCTACGTTAAAAGCTTAGATATATTCTTGGGAATGTGTTTCTTCATAGGTCAGTAATTTCATGTACATATTCATATCTCATCCATCACATTTATAGTTTTTGCTTCGTTACTGGAATATGCTGCGATTGGATACTTAATGAAACGAACTCGATCTGTAACTACCGCTTCTCCAGTTCAGTATTACGAGACTGGTGATGGCGTATTAAAACGAGAGACCAGCGTCAAAAAGAAGAAGAGTAACAGTAAACGGAAAGATACATCAATTCGAGTAAGTTCAGCTTTATGTTCTCTATATGTATATATCTATATGGGCTCTCATTTCGAAGTACTAATGTTTTTAACTTTCCACATTCTCTCAAAGTTTGTTGGGATCATTTTACTGATGTATTGATGTGCATTCATAGAGCATTCGAGCGAAAAGGTGATTGAAATTCTATTCGAATGATGCTCAAAGTATCACTTCAACCTATTCACGCTTCTCGATAGTTGAGTTCAAAAATTTCTGAGTGAGACAGCCATTACGAAATCTTTATGGTTGAAGTCAGTTATATTGAATTTATTTTTTTTGCGAGTTCCATGAAATGTTCATATATTAAGCTTTGATGGATTCAAAGAATTTTTAGCTTTTGGGATGCGTTTGAGTGTAAAAATTAACATATTATATGGGATTGCGAGCTTGAAGCATGTGTTTTGGTTAGGATGAGGCTTTTCTTGATAACTCAGTTTATTTCCTTATTTTGCCTTTGTTCTCCGCAGTTATAGTCAACCAATCTTCAAGCTGTCTTTCACGTGTAATCGCAAAGCTTATGCTTATGAATAACATACATGGCGGAAAGATTCTGTATTCTTGCAAGAACAAGTCGTTCTTTGGCCACCTAGACATCTGCACCCATAGCTCTTTGGGGACTACTGCATTGAGAAAACATGTCAAAAATATAGAATATAACTCCATAAGGGATGTATCTGATATATGAGAGGTTCAATTACTTTTTGTGTTAGGTATCTAACTTTGTGCTAGTCACGCATCTATATTCGGTTCAACCCATATACGGAACTTAACGTATGATGCACCCCGGTGACAAATACTTGACACTCCAAATGACATCCTCTTTGATACGTTCTTATTACTCATTCGTTTTTCATTAATCTGTCTGCCGCGAAACATCCAGTAAAATTTCCGAAATTCATAGTATTTGATTAGCGAGGGAAGGCAAATCTATTATTCCAGATGGAAACTGACCCTGCTACTCAAGACCAACGAATACCACTGCTAGCTATGGTCCCGATGCCGCCGATACCGTTCAAGCCGAAACAAACAATATTCTGCGGAGTACGCGCGGCTAAGGTGAGTTTCAATCACTCAATAGAAGATAACATACTATCTATCTCTCTATTATAGGTTGATCTGGTTTCACGCATTGCTTTCCCAACATTCTTTATTCTCTTTCATATCGTGTACTGGGGATTTTACGTAAACTTCGGAGGCTAATGTAGAGAGCAAAGATGTCTTCTTCTCTGATTTTTTTAGGTTTTTCGGCTAAGAATTATAATAGCTGTTTCAAGTACTCATGTTTTGAAAACAATGTTCACATTAGAAACTTGAGTATGTTATTCGCTCACATGTGATATTAAATACTTTGTGATCTCATTTTTTTCAATCTGAATGTTCAATGTTGGATGCATCTCTTATCTCGTGCCTTAAATTGATTTGTATTTACTGTTATAATAAATTTATCTTTTCTGTTTTCATGGTTTGCAAATTTGTATGTTTGTCATTTACCTCGGCTTTTAATATATGTCATCGAAATTTTGCCGACTTCCGGTTTTTTTTCTTCAGCATCATCATAAATAGACGCCGGCTCTGCCGATGGCGTCAAAACAAAGATGATGGATAGTAAAAATGTAGTGTCGGGCCAGATAGCCTCTTTTCGTTCTTTTAGCATCAAGTCGTGAAGCTGGCGCCCACTCGTTCTAATTCTTGAAGCTGTAAGAAAGGGCATCAAAAAATGAATGTCACATGCTCGTGCTGAGTTTAGATGTTCTAAGAAGAACTAAAAATTTATTTTAGAGTTATATACAAGATTGAAGAACAAAGGAAGAACTGCAGAAGAAACCCATAAACATTATTTGTATAGTTCATTCAAGCTTTAGTATGAGGAAGAGCAACGTGTGATGTGGCGGAAAATTGAAGAGGCGTGACGAAAGAGAAGCTTGAGAACTATGCGTACCAATCTCGAAGTTTATGAACTGTTGAAGGAAAGTTGATATGATAAGGTGAGTTCTGAGTTGTGGGGTCGGCCAATTGCTAAATTCTTTCAAATGGGATTAGCAAACAATACGTTACGAAGCTGCTTAGAAGTTTTGTGAAAAAATTACCGCAAAAGCCTATCCAAACATGGCCAACGATTGGCTCGAAAACCGTGTTTTGTTACGATGAAACCTGTTGAAATTAACTTGTGAGAAGTTAATCTAAGAGATCGGGTTTCATCGTTTGTTAATGCCGATGGCCGAAAGAACTGCGCTCTGTGCTTTTTCATTCGAAAATGAAACTCGCTGAGAACAAAGGTTAAGGAAAGAGAATAGATTACAAAGCAAAAAGTATTGAGTGTAGGAGTTGATACGTAGAAGGGAATCGAGGTTTTCTTTCAAACCTAACAGAAATTACTTCTCATTTGACGCTTCATTCGTCTCATAAAACCAACGGCCGTTCTTAAATCTGTTTTCAATTCGCAACGACTGAATCCTAAAGCATCGACTATAGGTTCGGGATGAGCGAACGCTGGACACTTCTTCCCTAAACATTCATATATTGGTTATATTAGGAAGGAAAACAAACAGCATTTGTTGAACAGGAAATGCCTTCCTTCTTCACAGAGGCATCGGGAAATTTGCTGGGTTTTGTCACAGATTGTACTTTCGCAAGCTCGCTTACACTGGTCATCAAGTATACACCCAGTTTCGTTTGGTTTCAAAGCTGAAAGACTTCAGTATGTAAGCATCACTACATATACTGTGGTTGAGATAGGACGTTCATTGGTTTCATATGTTATTCCTGATTTGAATAGTACCTGGCAAACAGCATCCTGGCTTGTCTTCAGTTGCTTGGAAACAGCTTAACCCTGTACTGCAATCCATGGTAGTTGTGCATTCTATTATGGGAAAAAAATAATTTGCTTTTAATATGCATTTAAAAACCTTGTCGACAATTTTCTGACGTGGCTTGGGCAACAATTTCTTTTGCTAAAAGTGGTTCGAAGTATTCAATGATTGGCAGATACCAAGGAGGATTATTGTTCGAACTTGTGCATCCAATGAAAAGAAAAGTTATGATGAACAATGAAATCTGCATCTGAAAATAGGAATCAACAACAAAGAGCAATTTAGAATGAAAAACATTGAATATGAAATAAGAAACAAAGGAAATGCATTTTGCACAACAATATTTATTTCTAATGTGAGTATATATTTCACCCAATTTGAAGAATTTATTCTTCAGAATATGAATATGAAGCCGACAAAGTACTTACGATCAAGAGAGGAGCCACGTTATGGTCACACTGTTGACCACGTCTGAGCCGAAAGAGATGAGCTCGTGGAGTAGAAAAGTGTAAGGCCAACAAAACAGAAAATAAACAGAGAATCGGTGAATGAGACACGATTTGAGGGAATGGGAAGACGACGCGGAAACAGACGTGGGTATAGTTAGAAGAGCAAACAGTACCTTCTTTGGAAAATCCCACAGCAAGTGTTGGTGCTCAATCGGCACTCAAGATGGTTTTGATCAGCTTCTCCCTTTTGTTCATTGTTGAAAGGTCGTTCCCTGCATACATACGGAAGTTTAGTCTTCAAAAGATGTTAAGAAAACCTTTGATGTGAAAGTCGTAGCTAGCGATTCATTCTATTTTTAAATACGCGATAATCAAAAATCAGCATATCAGTCACTTACGCAATTTCACGTAACTCACGTGCAACGAGAATTGTCATCATTTTAACTTTGGGCTATACTTGAACCGGTTGCATTCTCTTTGCTTATCACAACATGATGAAATACTATACTAATCAAGTATACTGTGTACACTTTATTTTCATTTCGAATACTCAACTGTAACAGCGATTTTGAGTTTTCGAAAATGCACTTGACTATTGCGATTAGCTGCGATTCATCTAGTTGATTCTTTTTTTCAGATTGACATGAAAATTACTGATCGAAGCCTGTACGCTTGTGATATCCGGAGAGTGAAAGTGACACATACTTGATTATCCTTATACCGAAACGGACGAATTCTCGTTTTGTTGTTGTTCATGATTGACCCCTGACAGGCGGGCAGCCAACCGGGACAGTTCTATCGGCCATCTCCAGATCTAGAATGCTCTCTAACTTTCTATTCTTCTGCCAACCTGTTTCTTCAGTTTGGTGTATAGCGGCGTATAGGATAAGAACAGTTCTTTATCACTAGCATCATCATCATCAGTATCTTCAATAGCAATCTCTGTGATCCCGTTAGACCTAGAGCTACCCAGGAAGCTTATATTAGCTATCGTCTCAGATTCCCTGAGATTTAAGTAACTTATCAACACTTTGTCGGAAGAATAAGATAATGCTTGCCAAGTTACTTCGTGTTATTCTTGTGTTAACAGTTTTGTTTTTCCCAATTGTTCAGCCTTTTTTGGCTTCAGCTTTTTCATCTGTTAGTCAAGCTGGGAAGACAAGCAACTGTCAAGATTGGAGTGAATATGGCCCATGCTTCAGGCAAGTTCTCCGTTTTTTCTCTTACTTATACGAACGCACTCAAGAAGTATTTCAGACTTTCTCTTCTAAAAAATAAGTTTTGAGCTTTGAAAACATCCATTCTTTAAAATCCTTCTCGCCACTTCAAAAATTGCAAAGTCTGACAAAGTCATATTTCAGCACGGCTGACAGATCCTTCTGGTCGCGGTTACCAAAACAATGTTACCAGAATAGGTATATGTCGGTAGGGTCTCAGAATGAGAATTGGTAGCTAATTGATCATTACAGTTAATCACCGGTATCGGAAATCCAATTGTTCAAAAAGTTATGGATTATGCCGAACTCTTTAATAAATCAGCTAATGCTTGTGGAATGTGCAATGTGCAAGTTGCATGTTCACCTAGATGCGAGTACACTCCTGGGTAATTGTTCCAACCGTGTTCATTTTTGATTTCTTTTTTCAGAGGTAATTCTTTCGGAGTTGTAGATAGAATTTGTGATTTGCCGACTGAACGACAAGCTTGTGCTATGACAGAACAGGCTTTTGACCAACGATCTGGGACTTGTAAAGTCTGGCCTCCAAAGTACTTTTCTTATTTATAGTTCTCTTTCAACTCAGTTTCATCTCTCTAGATATACTACAGCTGTTGATTTCCTCGGAGCTCTAGTTCCACCAAATATTAGAGACCAAGTGTGGTCTTTGAAGCCGTTGAATTGCATCAGGTAAACTATAGCTCTTGACATCTCGAAACTTTATTTACTTGAAGCATTGATGAGAAATGTTATTGTTGCTGTTCTCCATATACACCCAATCCTTGTGATGCTAAATGTACTTTAACTCCATGTAGTAGACGGCAAGCTTTCTCATCCACACAAATCAAAATTCTCCGACGTAAATGGATAGCCAAAATAGAAGAGAGGGAAACAACAACTGATGAAGAATAATAAGTGACCAATTTATTTTGAAGACACAAATATTAAGTAAGCGAAATATGAATGAATATTGAGATACATCACTACTCGTTAATTATAGAAGACTAGAGTACGACAAGAATTTTGGCTTTGATCATACCTGTACACAGAAAAATCACAAAAAAGGCTAAAATAGGCCTTATTCTTATAAAAATGTATATACATAAGATGCATAAAGTATTATTTAAGACAAATTGTTCATACTTTCTTTACATTGTTCGTACGATAAGCTCCGGTCCAGCCAGAAGCTCTTACTTTCCGAACTTAGTTCTTTCTCAAACTTTGTAACTCACAGCAATTGGTTAAACGAGCGCTCAGTTGTCTCAACTCGATGGCTACTGTCTTAGCTGTTTCCACACTGTTCAAACTGTTCAACTTATCAGCGCAAGTATCTACAATGGCCATTAGTAATAATGATGGGTGGTCAAGGAACTCACCCATTCTTTTGGCGACGTCAGAGCAGAGAACATCCTTCTCATTCAGAGCAGATTGCAAACAAGCAACTTGATTTTCCATTAGCTCTAACTCCTGAAGAATGATTTTGCTCAACAGTGAACGAAAATAACTCAACCTTTCCCCAAGGTCTGCCACCCTTATCAGCTGGGCTTGAACAACCGGATATCCCTCCTTTCTTAGGAGTTGCTTGGGGAGAAGTTTTTTGAGCTTAATATGCAGTTCTAGGCGATATGGTTAGATAGGTCGTACTTGTATTTTCGATCAAAGTCTCCTTCATCTTCTCAAATACTGAGCGCTGTCTTGGTCTCATTGCAGGAACTGCATTCTTTGGAACTACGAATTCCTTTTGAGTATTAGGATGAGCAACTCCCGCGACTGTGATATTGGCGAAGTTAGACAGTGCCGTTAAATTGGGTCGTCCGATTTTCTGAGTAGCACCTTTAGAATTATTAGAAGGAACAAGCACCTACCTTTGGACAATTGAAATGGCGAGCTAATTGCATGAAGACAGTGATATCAACAACTGGTGGATATTTCATGAGGTAATGAAGACAACCTCCATAATCACTTTTTAAAACTTAAAACTAATCATGAGAACAATTTCAGAATCAACAACTTACGTAATTCTCTTATATAAATCAACATGGCTATGAAGACGGATTGGACCATTCGCACTATGGGTCTTTCACAGAAGATTATATCCCATATGAAAAGCAAATCGTGTATTGGAAACTCCCTACCGAACAAGAGTCGAAGCCAGCGACTGAAGAGAAAAAGAGGTACTAAAGGAGTTAATAAAAAGCTTTACATTCCAAAAAGTTGAGGTGGAATATCCAGATTTTTCAGATGACTACTAAGCTCTGGATCGTAGGAATGAAGACAATCGCCAACTTTGCTCAACTCCAAAGCTATCATGGTGGATGGTACAGCATCATGCATTCTACAAAAACACACACACACGTGATTAAACAAAAGAGAGATCAACCTCAAGAAAGGTTCGTTCGATTTCGGCTTTTCTCCCGCTAGTTCAGAATCTTCATACCAAGTTCCTATTTCCAACATAACTTCCCGAAACAAGATGCTAGAGTTCAAATCATAAAATCTTAGATGATGGCAGGTGCTTACTAAGTGTCATGAACGAAGTGTTTGCGATCGTAGACGTTTTCTAGAATTTTTTTATCTTCTTCATTGAGAAATCTGAAAACATGCTGGACTTCTACGAATGACGTCATGTATTTTACCCAAATTCCGGTCCTTCTTTCATGTGTTCGAACAATTCAATATCTGAGCAAAGTACGAAAAGCAGAGGAGCCAGGATTTCATGCATACCCTGAATTGGAGTTTAATTTGAACTTCCGAGAAGCGTCGAACCTGTTTGTATGAAATGTAAGGATGTTGTTTGGCATAAACAATTAATATCTCAGACATGCTTTCTCGAATGTTTGCTTGTTGGAAAAAGGAAATTTCAGGAAATCTGGAGCGCTTTGTCAGTGTTTCTTTGAGATAATCATAAACTCACGTTCTCATAACATCTTTGGAGATGATGTCACGTAAGTCATGATCTTCGAAATATTTCTGCCAGGGGTTCTTAACCAAACACACGATTGCTTGCCTTCATTAACATACAAACCTGGTCTGTTTGAGTCAAAGGATTGTTTTCTTGGGGATCTTGTGAAAAACTTTCATCGTGAGGATCTGTTATGTGAATTTTTCTCAATTTATCATACTCTGCCCTCGATCTATGTAAAATGGTTTTCCATTCAAGTTTACAAACTGGTAGACAGTTTAGCATAATCTGAATCGAAGTATATTGTTCTACATTTCGATTTCTTTTATCATTACCCTCCAAACTAAGGATCGAAGAACTGACTTTCGAAGTAATCCATCGTAGCATAATTGCCGTAAAGTATCAATAGTTAGATTAGAAGCCAATATTTCACGGTATCCGCTGCAAGTGTATTTCGATAGATATGTCTTATATACATTCTCGTAATTAAAATAATTACTTACTTAAACGTCCATGTTTTGTTACTTGAAGCCATAGTTCAATTCAAATATATTTTAAGAAGTATGTTTTACATTAAGAACGCATAATTAAAGCTATAATGCTAATATTATTTTAATAAGAAAATTTTCGCTACGGGACCGATTGGACACTGCTGCTTCGCTGAGTATTCGACGTGCGCGCATACCCTCGCAGCCAAATTTTAACGTAGTATACAGGGATCTCTGGCGTTTTCCTAAAATATGCTGAATTCTGTTTTTTATATTGTGAACTGTTTATAAATATTACTACCTTATATTAACTGTAGTAACGTCGTACATAATGCTAATTCAGAATTTATTAAAGATTTTCAAATATAATGTATTTATTCAAATGTTTCAACGTTGTTTACTTTTTATTTCTGTTATTACTAGAATTTTCATTTCGTTTCTGTTTCAGGTAAAATGTCGGGCGGTCTCGAGCCCTTTGCTCTCCAGGAGGATGATGCTATGAAGCTTTTGGCTACATATGCTCATATTGGATCCCCCAATGTTGACTTCCAAATGGAACAATACGTCTTCAACCGTCGTGTTGACGGTATGTTTTAGACTTTATTCATCTGCATAATTTTCTGGCTTGTATTTACGCTTTTGTGTTCAGGAACCTACATCATCAACCTCAAGAAGACCTGGGAAAAAATCCTCTTCGCTGCTCGCGCCATCGCTGCTGTTGAGAACCCATCCGATGTTGTTGTTGTTTCTGCTCGCCCATACGCCCAGCGTGCTCTCTTGAAATTCGCTGCCCATACCGGAGCTACCGCCATCTTCGGACGTTTCAGTCCTGGATGTCTTACCAATCAGATCCAAAAGAGTTTCAAAGAACCAAGACTCCTTGTCATCTCTGACCCACGTATCGACCACCAGGTGAGACTTTAGCTATTGAACATTATCATATCGCTTCTTAAATTTAGGCCGTTCGTGAGGCTTCATACGTAGGTGTCCCAGTTATCTCTTTCTGTAACACTGAGTCTCCATTGAAGCTCATTGACATCGCTATCCCATGTAACAACAAGGTTTGTACTTTTCTAGTTTGTTGTTTCATATGCCGAGTTATGTTATAGGGAGAGAAGTCCATTGGACTTATGTGGTGGTTCTTGGCTCGTGAGATCCTCATCCTCAGAGGAAAGATCTCTCGCCAAACAGGATTCGTCCTTGACGGAAAAGAGATTATGCCAGATCTCTACTTCTACCGTGATCCTCATGAGGCTGAGAAGGAAGAAGCTGGAGAGGTTGCCCCAATCCCAACCAGCGACTACTCTGCTCCAGTTGAGCCAAGCGTTGACTTCACTGCTGCTCCAGATGTTCAAAACTGGGCCGACGAAACTGCTAACTGGAATATCAACAAGCCAGCTGAAGGACAAGAGTGGGCTAACGCCAACGCTGTTCAACAATGGTGATCATGTTCGTTGTTTTCGGCACCATAAATCGTTATTAATTGTTGCTTTTGTTTTCTCCAAGTTATTTTCTTTATGATATGTATGAAGTTTTAATAAGGGATACTTGAAACACACGAAATATTCAGGGAAATGAAGGCTGAGTTAATAAAGGAATATCCTCTGGAGGAGTTCCCAAACTGGAACATCTTATCTAGAGAGAAGTGAGAAAGTTATGAATATTGATTGGTGAAAGTATGGTTTGTAGATATTATGTGCCTGCTCCTATCGATGGCTATGGGGAATGGGCTTTCCATGTCAGAACTCACCTGACTTCCTTGATTTTAGCTGGAAATCCTGCTATTCAATTTCTTCAGGGAAGATATCGTACATGATGGTTAGACTTCTGAGTGTTTTAGTCAAACAACTCTGAATTCGCTACCAAATTGGCTTTCATGTTCAGTCGATTAGGGTTGGAAGAGTTTTTCTTCTCTTTGATTGTTGCAATGGTTGGTAAAAGCTGAATAGCATGGAAACCTTGTTGTAGGTCTGGCTCTTCGATGTAAGACTGGGATATCTGCTGGCTGTTCTGTTAGGAATCGGTTTCTTCTTTTCTGGAGTTTTGAAGGTTGGATTGTGTCTGCCAAGACCTCCTGCACCACCTGCCTTGAGACTTAGTGAAGAAAACTTTGATTGGTACGTTGAGTTTTTGTTGTTCGAGACGCATACTTTTTACAGGGCTTGGCCATCAAACCATTCTCTGCTGGGCACAGCTTTCCCATGGTTCATATGGATATATTCGACGAAGCACTATGAACTGTCGTTCTGGTCTTCCCTGCTGCTGTTGACTTCCATATTTGTCTGTCAGTTTTCTTCAAATATTCTTTTTACACGTCTTCTATTCCTTCCCTTCCCTTATTCTTATTTATGCTGATAAGACGTGCAGAAATGCTGGTGATGGTGGCGGAATCGCTGTGTCACAATCGGGTCTTGAGATCCTGTTTCCCCGTTTGCCAGCCAGAAGTCACCATAATCATTTCGCGCATGTGTAGTGACAACGAATCAATTTCGAATCACAATCATACAATTTACCCTGTTGACCCCTTTAGTTGTAATTTGCTGTTTTAGGGAATTGTGGGGTTAGCTGGTCTAGAATATACTTAGGAGTACATTCACCATGCGATGTTTTGGGCGGCTGGACCATTGGTGTTCTTATTCTGTTTATATTCAGTGAGATTCATTCCAATAACTATGTTCTCACTCTCTTCTAGGTGGTTATTCTGACCGCCTGTATGAGCTCTATGTTCTAAGTTCTGGCAAAGATTCAAACTTTTTCCTCTATATGTATACAGCCATCCTCGTGCTTTTGCAGATCCATCCACGAGCTTGGCCTGAAACTCAAAGTTTCGGAGAAGTAGGGGTTTTTCGTTTCGAATTTTTATCCAGTATTGTGCTTTTCGCTTGTCTCCGTTCTTGCTGGAGTTTCTGGGATCTGGTGTACTCGTATTTTGGAGCTAGGAGGTGCAAGTCCCTTCAAAAGTTTACGTGAAACAACACCTGACGCACCAGTCTATATGTATCTAGTTCGTTTTCTCATAGGTTGTTCTCCGTTTTCAAACCCTTTCATTATACTTTCCCTACTTTAGGAACCATATTTGCTCTTATAGCTCGAATTTTGATTAAAACCATTACTAAATTCGTAGTAACTCAGACTTATAAGTATCTAGGACTGAGATTCTACTCATACACCGGGATGTGTAAATCCATGGGAGACTTACAGCCTACTAAGAGATATACTAACAGAATGAGATTTTCTCCTATTCCTGGTCATAAGGTAGATATACTAAGTTAAGTCACTTGGCCATTCTTCAATTTGAGGTGATCAGAGTGGAAGATGCGCCATATGACATAGACTTGCCCGTCAAATTCTTCACATACAGCGCTGTCGGCTTTATGGTCGGAGAAGGATGTCCTTTCCTTTTTGAACTTTTAGGATTGTGAAAGACTTAAAGATTTCACGGAATCGAAGATGTCTATGATTAGTTAATTGATTTGTCACTCGTTGTAAGAGTATAGCTGCCAATTTTCCATCACTATGACTCACGATGTGCAATTACATTCCTCTACTTACTGTGATAAATTACAAACTTCTTATCTTTTCTTTTCGATTATGTTGGCGTTACCATCCCATATTTTGTTAAACCCCTTTCTCATTTTATTTTTTTCTCTTAAGAATGGCCTCTAATAAGCGTCCTCCTGAAGATGATTCTCGCTTACCCACATTCAAGCTCGTTGTTATTGGAGATGGAGGAGTTGGAAAAAGTTCTTTAACTATCCAATTTTTCCAAGTACGCTTTCAACATCCTTTAATTCTAACTCCTTGAATCCTGTTTAGAAGCAGTTCATTGATTATTATGATCCTACTATCGAGGATCAGTACATTCAGCATTGTGAAATTGATGGACAATGGGTCATTATGGATGGTGAGATTTATGAGGATCCCTTTTCTCAAGCTGTGTTTTTCAGTTCTGGATACTGCGGGCCAAGAGGAGTTCTCTGCTATGAGAGAACAATATATGAGAAGTGGCAAGGGTTTCCTTCTGGTATTTTCAGTAACTGAGCGAAAATCTTTTGAGGTTTCAAGTTTCTTTAAGAAAATCGTAAATTTTATGTATTAAGGAAGCAGCGAAGCTTTATCGCCAAGTCCTCCGGGTAAAAGACAAAACGGAGTATCCAGTTTTATTAGTGGGAAATAAGGTATATTATCCTTCGTTCTACAGTTACAAATGTTCTTGAGGTGGATCTTCTGAATCAACGTGTGGTGACAGAAGCAGAGGGACGACAGTTAGCAGCGGAATTGAAATTGCCTTACATCGAAACATCTGCGAAAGACCCACCGTCGAACGTTGACGCTGCTTTCCATGAGTTAGTGCGCATCGTAAAAAGTTTTCCTTCGGATGAGGATGAAGTAAGCTCGTTCCATAAATTCATTTCAACTTAATTGAATCTAGGACTGTGCTATAAGTACGAAGAAAGGAAAAGCCAAGAAGAAAAAGGATAAACAGAAGTGTGTGATAGGCTGAGAGCATAAAATTATCTCCAACGTTAAACGTTTATTTGTAAAGATGACCAATTTTCAATGTGATTTTTCCAATGTGATTTCTGAACATCTTGTCTTTTTCACTTTTCATGGTGCTCAATTTTTCAATAACCGAATAAACCTTACTAATCAAGAATGAATTTTTTTGAAACGTACGTAGCATCAAGTGTACTTTTCAACATTTGAATATGTATTTCTGATTTCTTCTAGCTACCATCTATAGACTTACCTGTACTACGGTAAACGTTTACTATTTGTTTTGAGTACTGAATATTTTTTCCTTGAGCCTTTTTTTCATTAGTATCGTACTTCTCGAAACGCGCCCCAATCTGCGTTTGAAACTCAGCTCATGCTTAAGATTTTTTCTTTCAGCACTTAAAAGTTGGGATGACTGAACTTGGTCTTCCGACCGGCAATCAATTAGTTTTAAGCAATAAAGTTAATCTAGATGAGTTATTTCTCGGAATATTCGAAAATTGTGTGTTAGAACCGGCGACTCCGTTCAAGGTTAGGTCGTTCTTTCTGGAAACGTTCATTCAAATTTGGGAAATTTTCAGTTAGCAATTTACTGTTTGGCTCTAACTTTAGATGGAATAGATCAATTGCATCATGGTTTCACGGACATACAAGCTAACAGGTCAGCATTACTTACCTGAAATTAGAATATGACGTCGGTCACGTCGGGGCTTCAAGTCATTTTGAAAAAAAAAAAACAAAAGTTCGCGGTCGTGCTGTGTTCCTTTCCGCTTCATAACTGTTAATAGCTGTTTGTTTTGTAGATTGATGTGTCTGATCGTTGGTATATTAGAAAAAGGGGACAGGCCATTCAAAGATGTTCGTAGGCTTGTACGGTTTATGGACAAAACTATATGGAATGGAATACTGGAATACTATCTACAACAGTAATTTCGTTGAGACAATTAAGTCGTTCCGTTTATTCTGTTCAGAATCCATAGCATAAAAGAAGGAAACGACATTCATGTGAATGGACGTTATTTCTTCGGCAGAAGAGATGTTACAATTAGACTTTTCCAAATTCGTACTGGCCTATTCTTATTTTTGCGCAAGGTAAGACATGCGTTAATCATTTCTCATTGAACTTGTTTCAAGCTTCATTATCAATGGACTAAACTGAGCACTCTGCAATGCTTTGAAGCAAACGAGAAGTTTAGAAAATATATCCAAGATGCGGAAGAATTGGAATGTAGTTTTATGGATGGAACTCTCTTAAGTTCAGTTCCTCTCGAGATAGAGTCTGCTGCTCGCGCAAAAAAATGGATGGATAGACAGATTCATCTTTTACAAGTATGTTCTCTCTCGTATAATTGTGAGAAATTGGAAAAAAAACTAGGTCTGTCCATCGTTAGCCATGAATCCCGATCAAATTTTTGCATGGTGTGGTATTGTAAAGCATAGACATAGAGATATTAATGCGGTAAGGTTTGAAAGTTTTCTTAAATACATTATTTGAATCACAGAATCTACTAGAGATGATTATGCATATAAACTTGAAAAATTCGATGGCCGCACAGGAATCTCTCAGAAAGTTTGTAGATTTCTCCATGTTCCGGTAATTCCATGACTTTCTGCAACATACTCCATACATTTTCAGTCCTAATATATTTGATTTACCAAAAAACGTAAATATCGATGACATGAAACGAATTGGAGTTATCAATCAGAGACCACTGAGACACGGAACTCTTATGTTGGCTCGTATATATAGAATGTTTGGAGATTTGTAAGCCATCAGTTCTTCTAGCTATTGTATATTTGAATTGTTCAGGGTAATGGCTCGTTCATTGTTAACAGAAAGTGTGCAACAAGCACAAACTCAAAATGATTGGCCTTGCATGCGCTTAGCGATGCTTGAATTGACGGCTATTGATATTTTATACAGTCTGGAGCATCATAAAAGTGATAAAGGTAAGAGAAAGCTTCTTAGGTCTTATCATAAAGTTACAGAAATGAGTGATGATCCTGATCATGTACCTCGGGTCACTCTAGATTCGGCGTTGAGGATACTCATGAAGGAGTTCGCCTCCACAGAATTGTATGTTGTAGATGAAAGTGATACCCAACTTGGTGCCAGAAGTTTTAAGGGCGCTGATTTCACGCAACTCCATGAGTTCCACGAAAATGCCGTCAGCCTTGTTAACTTACTCTCAGTTATTGTGGCCGCAAGAAATGGAAACTTGGCCGAGAGCGCAACGGGATCTTTAAAACAGCCCCTATCTCAAGCAACCAGTGACGATGAAAAATCAAAGTCGCGTTTGATCGTCGACGCAAGCACAGCTACACTTAGTAGTATACGCCTTCATCAAGGATTCTGGAAAAGCGCAAGAGTTGCTGCTTTATCACTCACTGAAGCTAATGGTTCTGACGGGACCGCCCCGCATCACGAGACAGAAGCTTATGTATGTTGCTATACTAAACGGTGAACAGTGAAAAAAGGTGTATATTGTAGGCCATAGCTGGAGCCAATATTATTTATACCTACATGGCCGAAGGAAATTGGGAACTAGCTTCTAGTGCTCTCGTAGATTTGGTTGCAAAGTTTCCTGTCAAGATTAACTGGCAGGTTGATAGTTTTATTTTTCTCAATTTTTAAGATGATTCCTCTAGGCTTCTCATCATGTTAGCATTTGTAAAGCAATTTTCGAATTTGATAATGCTCTGAGATTGGGCAAGTGGAAAGATCTAGACAATAAACTTACTGAATTGAAAAGTGTAGCCCCAGATGAGGCTGCAATCAGGTATGGGGTAATGACAGTTTCAATCATCAAGCATCTTGTTAGACAAGCTCTATTGTTATCTCAACGTGGTGAGCTCCAAGATGCTGAGTTTCTATTGAAGAAAGAGTTGAAGAGTTCTCGTGGTAAACCAGTAGTTTTCAAATACAGGTACTCTTTATTCAAAAAACGATCTCGTATTCTCGTGTTGAAGGTTACAACTGCAACTTTCAACAATCCTAGCAGCTTTGGATAAGCTTGATGATTCATTAGATCTGCTGCTCTCCATTATAGAACAGACAAAATCGAAATCACTCTATTTATTGACATCTCTGGCCCAACGACGATTAGCTACCTTCCATGTAACGAATAATTGGATATCATAGCTAATCGAACCTTCAGGCTGATCATGGTCATGCAGCGGAGGCGCTTAAAGGATATGCTAAATGCGGAGAAACTGTGGCGAATATGGGTACTGCATTGGAAAAATGTTTTTATCATCTTGCTCGATCGAGTGTTCAAGAGGATGCTAACAGTTAGTGTTCTGAGTTATGATTTATATATTCAAAAACTGTTGCAGTGGCTTTGTATGATTTAGCTGTCGCACGGAAATATTGTCAGGAAGCTGGATTTCCTATAATCGAGAAGTCTGTTCTCAAAGAAGTGGCTTTACATTTCAACAAGGCGTGTCATGTTTTTGTAATTTAAACTCATATCTTTATTAGGTGGATGATACACAGAAGCGTGATGATATCTGCGAGCAATTCGTCTGTATGGATCAAGCACACCCTGGTCTCATGAACTGGAAACTTTTCTAGTCTCAACTCATTTGGAATCTCTGTACACATGCGCGAAAGAATTCAAATCTTTGTTCAATATGAATTTTGAATATCCTTGAACATAAAAATTTATGCATCGGGTACAAATTATACAAATATTTAAAGGATAAATCCTTACTCATCCTTAGAAAGAATAGGCATTGCTCATATTACGCTCGGCTATCTCCTCTTCTAACATCCGAATACGTCTTTCATGCTGTCGCATGACAGATTTCATTTTCATGAAATCTGCCAAAAGCTCTTCCATACATGTAGGCACAGATGATCCCTATAGTGATTAATATAATTTTTGATTAGTTTTAATCAGTATGTGTGTTGTTGCTTGCAATAGGAGCTGTACTCTTACCATGTCACTGACACTCATGCGGGGTGAAGGAGATGCTTGTGCGGAAGAGGTGGGAGGAAGGTCTTCGCTGTCAGGTAGTCGAGCCTGAAGCTTAGCATAAGGAAAAGTTGATAGAAGCTGTGTTGGTGAAAGAGAGTTGATTAATAACCTGGTCTCGTCGGATGCGATCAAGCTCGGCTGCAGCTCTTTTTTGACCAGCAGTTAAGCCTTTACCGTCATCACGACCTTCTCTGGGTCTCAAGTTAACCTAAAGCGAGGGAAATAGAAATTAGTTTAGGATTGGGAGTTTAGTGTGCAGGAGTTTCGGATGCTAGAGTTTGTTTTGTTTACCTGTTGTTTTGGAACCATGGGATTTGGTTTTTCAACTTCTTCTTCTTTAGTTGATCTGGATGATGGAGGACGTTGGGATGCGGGCTTAACATTTTTAATAAAATTAAGAAATACATGAATAGTTTTACTTGGCTCATGGGAACAATTCCCATGTCGTCATCTATGACAGGTCTGCGTTGTGCTTGAGAAGCTGGGCGTGATTGAGCTTGAGATGAAGGCCGTGATTGAGCTTGTGAAGACGGTCGGGGTGAGGCACTGAATTATGACAGTTAAGGATTGCAACTTTGTTTTTTCTAACGCTTGAGTTTGTTCAGCGTAGCTCTGTGGTGCTGAGTCAGCTGCTTGGGTGGGAGCAAGACCACTGAGAATATTAGCTTTTTTGGCGACCGTAACTTTAGGCTTGGCTTGAGCAGCTGCCGCATTGACGGGGGCCAAAACGGGTGGAGCAGTTTTTCCTGTTAGAACGATTTTAAATAAGAAAGTGTTAAATATCAACCTTCTATAAATTCTTCAGCTGTGAGCGCTGGTGTAGTTGAACGAGTATCGGGATAGAGATCAAACTAAAGCTGAGATTACATAAATGATATAAAATTTCTAGGATACCTGGAACAAGTCAGATTTTCTCGGAACGAAGAATTGGAGAATGTCTACAACACCTTTTGTTGTGAGTTTATATAATCTATAATGATGTAAATGAGTAAATAGTTTATAGGAATTTGACCAAACCTGACCACTTCGTTCTCCTCACTTGAAACACCTCTCTTGTTTTGGAAACCTACGGCACGTTGGGGCTCACTGGTTGTGTAAGTATTAATATAATGAACAAAGGGGTACTCCTGGTTGATTTCATAGTAACGAATAGCACAATCTCCCTGAATATTTTCACTGTCAATTACAAATAAGGCATTATTCCAACCTTTCCGACAAGATAAACAAGTCCTGTGTCTTCATCGTACAATGGGAATAGAACTCCATTGGAAGTATCTAATTCTTCTTCTACCAAAGGCTCGGATAGATTACTCTAAAGCGATATGACGGTTGTATACATTGTTTGCTAATGATATCTTACAGCATCTCTTAAGGCATAAAGACGTTCAGATCGTTTTGTGAATCCAGTAGTCAGAATTCTTCCGTCCCGTACAAAAATGGCTTTTTGTGGCTTGACGCCTTCATGACCAACTCCTTCACTAAGTACGTCACCAGTGTGAGAATCCAAAATTCTAATTTTTTTGTCCTAAAGAATGGTTTGAATATCTATAGATGATATGATGGAATGCCTTGCAAGTAGTGACGAATTGACTTCCGTCATAGTTGAAACTGATGCTCCAGATCATATCTGGGTGTCCAGCAATCTCGAGCAAAGCTTCACCAGTTCCCACATTCCACATAAGCAGTTTGTTCTCACCACCTAAGGTAAATGATTTTTCAAAGTAATAATACCCAGCTTGTTTTGAAATAATTTCAAAATATATGTTCTTTCAGTTTTTCAATGTTCTTCAGATATATATTTTCATAAACATTGTGGCAAAGCGAAACAGCTGTCAATGTTTTTTCTCGTGAGTCACGTCAATAGTTACAAAGTTTTCAAGAAAATCTTTTCCAGTTGCTTCAAGGTAATGCAACTCGAAGTTTTGGAAGCTTATGATGGTAAAACAATTGTGTAAACGTGAAAGAACAGTATGTTTGACTGTTTTTTTGTATTTACTCACCAGCAGTTAGCAGAATGTTATTGGCTGTGGGATGCCAAGCGAGCGTATTAACTCTCTTTTGGTGACCACATAATTCTACGGCAGGCTCAGACAAGTTTCTGGACAAGCCTCTGTCAGGAATAAGCCAGACCTTAGATAATAATAAGTTTGGATTGATGTTAATATCTCCTTACTTTTGCTGTGGTATCTTCAGAGCACGAAGCAATCACGTTGTCATTGAAAGGACTCCAAGCTACTTCAAGACAAGGGGCCTTATGAGCATCAACAAATGGATAGTCCTTATCCACTCGACCAATCTTAAAAGGTAAATCAGAACATAACTTTGAAAACAATTCCAAACGACAGGTTATCAAAAACATTATAATGTAAAATATTTTTTTTGGAGAAAGGATGAAGTTTGAAGAGGAGGATTACGAGTTTCGAGCCTTTGAGTCAGTTGACCAATTTTGCTAATATTTGTTGTCTTTGACCTGCTCTTGAACGGCGATTTTGTTTTGCTGGTATACCAGAGCGTTAGTATCTTTGAACATGACAAATACGGCAAGTCTCGTATAGGTAATCAGCTCATCTTTTAATTCAAAATGAATACGTGGGAGTGTGACGCGATGTTTAATGAATAGGTTCCTTGATTGTCGTTCTATCTTCTTTTCGTATGAAAAAGTTTTTTTGATTTGTTTGCTTAACCGTCAGGTGAAGACTAGATATGCCATGAGATTTTCCAAACTATAAGGCAGAAGCACATCTAATTTCAATAAGAATCTTTTTGTCCTGTGGCATTTGTTGAAATTTAATGTTTTGAAAGGCAATGGATGTGGGATAGGAAGAACGAACTGTGTAATAGAAGCATCTATTGATTGCATCTTCTTGGAGAGAAAGAGGTTTAGTATTCGAGTTATTAGGAGATTTGGGGGGGGGAAGTTTGAACAACAAAGCGCTACATCTATATTTACCTTTTTTACTGGGATAACCATAAACGGACCACCGGCTCCTTTATTAATGAACGCGATGAACTTCGGGTTTACAGCGCAAAATAATGAATCCCACGTAATCTCAGTTACCTGCATGATGAACAAACAGTTTGAAGATTTCGAAAAGTGCTCAACTCACCTTAATATCAGACATGCAATTCTCATGCTTTACTGGTTTACAGAAAACATGTCTGAATTTACTCTGACGCACGATTTGAGCCATTTTGTTATCAGCTGTAGATCTGACTCAATAATTTTATCAGGAGAGGTTGAAAGCTAACTGAGCTTCACTCCCGCGTGAGTTGAGGTATGGGCCACAGAGAAGGATGGGGAGGAGAAGTAGGAGGATAGGAAGCCGGTTGCTCTCGCTTCTCTTGAACCCTCTCAATAACTGTCATCTCTCATTTCATTTTGCTCCGTGTGATTTTCTTCTTTTTGCGCTCTCTCACTTAGATGCCTGTTACTACTGAACGGCAAAGATATGAAGAGATGGAGGTCTGAAGAACAGCAGTTCATTGTTGCGCTCTGTCAATAAAGATAAAAATGGAGATATCATAAGTGTTCATAATCTTGTAATTAGGAGAAAACGATGTTTTCAGAAAATTTCTATCTGCGCATTCACCTGTGTTCAGAACGCCTTAGATGTATGGCTACTATGGCACTGCGATATGATATGCCATGTACATTACCAGAGAGTGATTGAATGCAACAACTTAGCAACACAAAAAAAAATCGAAAGTTCTGTACAATTCGCCAACTCCAGATGTGCAACGTTGTATTTTGTACTTCGTCCATCTTATGTTCAGTTCCTGTTGGCGAAGGACTCGATGGCATTTCGAAATAATGAGGTGATAGCTCAGTAATTCCTAATGTTTTAGTTTATTTATATTAGTTATGAAAGAGGTTCATCAAACGTTTCGAAAGAGTAGCTCAAACTGATATGATAACAGTTTGGTTATAAAACAATGTGAGAAACTTCTATTCGGAATCAAGTGGGCTGGTAACGCTTAACATGCAAAGTAAATAACTCAAGTTTCATTTTATTGTGTTGGCTCGAAGGCTTCCCACTTCCACTGTAGGAACATGGCAGAGAAAATTTGCCATGATAAAAAGCAAGGTCATTCGAAGAGATTTTTCAAATTTTAATTCACAAAGCAGTTTTTCGAAACTTCGGTTAACAACGTGTTCCTTACGGAATCTGTTTTAAATATTGAGAGCAGTAGCAATAGAATTATGTGATCAACTTCCTTATCAACTAATCCACCCGAACAAACGGAAAAAGAAGTAGAAATGCCTTCTAGTATGCGCTTGGAAAAAACAAAAAAAAACAAGAATTTGTTTCTATTTTACCTTAAGTATTATTATTTTAAGTTTCCCTATTCAAGCAGGAGAAAATACCGGAAACGCAAACCCCTGCGACAATAAATGAGAAAATTGCCCAAACTGAGGATACCTTTGGAACAAAAAGTATTTTCCAGATGCAGGAAAATTGGATTCATTACCTTAAACCTAGTATTATAGATTCTTTGCTCGGAAGACCCTTCTTTACGAACATTCTTTCGATCACTTTGCAACCTTTGGTTGTTAAACACAAACCGCGTAGATCACATTTGTCTGCTCATTCATAAACCGAGTTGCTTGGCATGACAGAAGTCAGAGAGAAGTGACCATCCATGAAAACAAAATAATAAAAAAACAACCGCAGATCTTCTCACCCATGCTTGTGGACAATCTCTGACTTTCCTTTTTTGGTCATCAAAAAAATCTTTAAATTAATTTGCATATCATTTTTTGGTTGTGCGCATGGATATGTGGGCGGAGCCTAAAACCGGGATCAGTTCAAACCAGAGCTCATACCAGTCAACACTGCCTAACACATATTTCTTATTGTAGTTTATTTGTTGTATATGTCATTTTGATTACATGTGTTGATACATTCAAGATATATTAACTGTTTGAAACGCACTGGGTCATTTCCCAATCCTTACTTTCTAATCTTTCCGTTGTCTTCACTAACTTTCTCTGTTCAAGAAACATGTCCGTCAATAGGCTGAGTCAGTATAAGAATGGATCCCGCAAGAGCAGTCTCATGAAAGATGTCCTTATGAAGGTATTGTTCAGGCTTTTTCAAGATTATCAATTTTGCTCTTAGAAATGCATTGAGAAAATGAAAGACACGCGTAGAAACCTTCATAACTCTAGGAGAAATATAGGAAAGATCGAGGAAGAAGAAGCATCAAATGCCATTAACCTAGTGGTTAGTTGAGGAACTTAAGAAAAGAAAACTTTTCTGTTTCTTTATCAGATCGCAGAAGAGATGGACAATTTCTCGACAGATGAAAAGATTGCCATGTTCGAAGAGTTAAAAAACGATCTGGTCATGCTAGGTGTGAAGAGGTGGTTCCGGGCATAGTTGTTACTCAATCATCTTCAGAATATGAACAATTCCTAAATGAAGTTCAGAATGCAGGGGATGAAGGTCTCCTTGCTCATTTAGAAGAAGACGTTTTCTGTCCAAACTGTACAGTGTATCCTCTGGATGTTGATCACACGGGAATGTTGTGCAGGGTTTGTTTTCTTATAAAACTCTTATCGATCATCTGTTGTAGAATTGCAATTTCGCTCATCCAGCCTTCATACAAATCACAAAATCCGAATTGGGAGAAAGATTCCGTAAAGCCTTTTCGGACCATTCAGACAGGTTGTTCATTATCTCTCATGCGTTAGGACAATTGATAAATTTTTGAAGGTGTGAGAATCAGTTGATGCCAATCGCCGAGGGGAGCAAGTTAGGAATCCGTTGCCGTGCCTGCCCATATTTTTCAGAAATTTTATAGTTTTTTACCTTGCCTGTACATTTGACACTAATTCCTATCTTTGTAAAATAAACTTCGATACTCATGAGTTATCTTATATGAAATTCTCCATCGATTAGAAATCGTTTTATTTCTGTGTGAGTGAATGAGGCCGCTTCTCTTGAGCAAGGTAGGTGCGGCAGTAATCTGCAACATTCTAGAAACGCTTCGTATTCAGAGAAAGATTTTGGAGCACTTCATTGGATGAAAATGTTCTAAGGTTAGTTCGTTTTCTCATTGCGAGTGTAAGAGTGGACTGTACTAGCTACTTGAGTTTTGTTGAGATTTTTTTCTCTTGTCTTACTTGTAACCCAATTACGAATAATCGAAATTACTTCAAACTTCGCGGGTTGAGCAATTCCGCAAAAGACTTCTTCGGCTTTCTATGAAGTAAATATGAGTAACTCGCTGTTTCTATGTCTTTGAGCCATGTTGCTTGAGAGCTTCGGACGGCTCGACCGTCGTACACTCAACCGAAGGAGTGGATAGCCTTCGAATTTTGATAAACTTTCTGAGTTTTCTTTTATTTGTTCTGTTCCCATTTGATTTGGCGGAAGGGCATCCTTTAATTGTAGACAAAAAGAGTTTTAATGTGGAATAGTATAGAGCGGAAAAGGTTTTTGTACGAAACTGTTGCAGCGAAGTATGAATAGCAAATAAATTAATAGCCATATTATGATTCATGAAAGAACAAAGGACTGCGAACGGAAAGAAAAAAGCATTGAAAGAGCTCGCAACCTCTTGGTGTATCAATTTGGGAATGCTGGTTAAATATGACATTGCGAATATGAAAGATATAGTTCTGTTCAGTGTTCATATATATATACATTGTATATCGATTGAGAGCATTTTTGGGATTTTCGAAAAACGAAAAGAAGAAATGTAAGAAACCCCGTTAAATACACATTACCATAATTGCTATCTCCCCCCCTCCTTCTTCCTCCTAAGTTTCTTCTGTATTGCCTCTGTTTCCAATTGTCTATCTTCTTTTATGTAAGCGAGGTACGAACGTTGTTTGTCTACAAATGGATCAGGTTGTTATCTCTTTATGTAAATGTGTATTATGTGATTTTGTCGACGATGTCGTCTTCTTCTTTTTCCATTCATCATCATCTTCTGTCGTTCGATGCTGTCTTCATTTGCAACTTGTACCCATTGTCACCTCGTTTTTCTATTCTGGGACAGCAAATCTTTTTTTGATCACTCCTCTGTGTTCTCGATGGACAAAAAAATTTTGGTACTTACCGATTAGAATTCTAGGGTTAGGGGGTATAGAGCCATTAGCAGTGAGAGACAAGTGATTCTTCTGCAAAATGGGTGGAGCAACTCGCTTAAAGACAGCCAACGGATCAGGGAGGCGACACAACTGAAAAGGGGTGGAGAAACGATGGAATGATGAGAGAATGGCTGAGAGAATGCGCTAAACAGAGAGAGAAGGAATGGAGGAATAAAGAGGAAGAGAGAACTAGCAACCCCAGCAGCAGCACCCCACCATCACCAACCAACAGCAGCAGCCATCACCGCCAGTCCTCCTTCTAGCTGATCGCGATCGCCCAAAGCCACTACCACCGCACACGGCAGTTAGGGCTTGCATATCAAAAACTAATTAATTAGATGTATATATTAAAAACTATAATTTTATTATCTATTTGATTATATTCTAAATCATCAGTTGGCACTCCTTTCATTGTCAGAGCTTCTTAGCCGTGTGAAGAGAAAGGATTTCGCATTCCGTTAGACATACTCTCCCACTCAGCTATATTTGGAATATTTGCTATAATTTATATTTGTTATATCCATGAATAATGGATACCGATAGTGCCTTACGTCGAAGTTTGCGAAAAATTAATCCTTTCAAGAATAGTTTATTCCGTTTGCCTGCTACACCACGTTTATCGCGCAGTAAAAAAGGTCAGTCAAGTTTTTTTTTCTTCTATTTCTTCCTCACACTTACACATACACATAGTCTATGTATCATTTTCTCTTTCTCTCTATGTAGCTCTTTCTCTCTGTGTAGCTCTCTCTCTCTCTCTTTCTATGACGATCTGTTGCTCCCTCCCTCTCTGTCTCCCGCTCTTTCTTAATCCCTATGTTTCCTGTTACTTTTTGATTTTCTTGACATCTTTTTGTGTTAACGAAAAACTTTCAATATTTGATTTCTGAAGGTTTCATCTCCTATAATTGGCTGTTTTCTTTGCGATTGGCACTAATTTGTCGGCGTAAAGTCATTCAAAACTTCATCGGGTGAACCTCAAATTGCATTCGCCTTGGTCATCATCGTCCTGTCGGAGACGATGAAGGTTCCCTTCTCTCTGTTGTTCTCTATGTTAACATCTTGTCTTATTTTATGGACTTTATTGGGACACACACACATACACACACATACACATATTCATTCGATAATTTTCTTATCAAATGATTTTGTGGTGAATGAAAGACATAATGAATAGTAAGGCCAGCCGCCACAAACAATTCTCAATCATTCTCAATTACTCGTTCTCATCTGATAATCTGTGAGACAATGAGAGATTGTTTGTTTAATTAGCATATTTGGAGGAAAGATTGTAAGCGTGTCTTCATTTTCATTTTTTTCCGTCTGCTGACATCAAGAACGGTTGTTAATTTCTAATTTCTTATCTCTTCTCTTCCCATCAAGACACACAACTCATCCTCTCTTCCTCTTTCACTTTCTCTCTCTCTCTCTCTTCTTCACTCAAATATCCTTATTTGGGGGGTTTTATTTTTATGTTTACCTGTTTTCTTTATGACTTTCATCTTTGGTATACAACTGAAATTACAACCAATGAAGCTTAGCAACCTGCAACTGCTTTGTCTGTTTCTACTCTTCCGGCACATATCATTGGAAGTTGGCTGATCTGACAAAACTGAATGACAGTTGAAGTGACTGACGACCGCAAGAAAAGTTTCTTGAAATGTACGAAAAGTAATTTTTTCGTTTGAAGCTGAAAAGAGTAAAGAAAAAACGGCTAACAGATTGCAATGTTTTTCTTCGTGGAGGGTAGAGTCTCGTCTTGGTGGGCTTGTGCCTGGCTTGCGGCAGACATTCTATTCATTCAATGAGTTCATAAAAGTATTTGAAATTAATCTTTCTTTTTGCTTCTGTCATAGATTGATGACATCGTAATCCTTATATAGATGCTTAACTATATGCATATAATATAAATTTGCTTGTACTTCTCATCATACTATTATTATAATAATTATGTGTGTGAGTATGTGTGTGTGACACAAGTTGTATTACTTATAGAAAACTTCTTATCTCTGTTTCATTTTCGTCTATGCTCTAGTGTTGTGAGCTTAAATCCTTCGGGGGCTAGTACTGCTACTCAACTCCTAATGCCAATTTTTCTTGCTTCTCCTGCCCCTTAGCTGCCCCTGTGGACCTCAGCAGCTTTTTAGTCCTATCTTACATTATCGAAAGTCTCTTGTTCTTCTCAGCTTTTCCTTCTCCTTCTTCCTTCTTTTTCTCCTTTTCCCGTTTTTTGCTTCTAATTGATGGTGTCTTCATCGTCTGTAAAACGAGCAGAAGCAAAAAAAAAAAGAATATTTTATTTGAAAAAAAGAAGGTTCATAAGGCATATCCACATGGAATATTCGTCATGATATATTGTGGATGAGGAGAAGTTTGAAAAGCTGAGTCTCAGATGAAGAAGAAGAAGAAGAAGCTGCTTTCGATAGTTACAATTTGGGTGAAGGTTCGTGAGAATAATCGAAATCCGAGAAGCATAGATGACTGAGAAACCTGAAGTTGAAAGCTTCAAAAAGCTCTTACGGAAAACTGACAGCTCATCTGGCATAAATCTTTTTTTTTTTTTGCTTTTCTACTTTAAGAAAGCAACAAAGCATTTCTCTTGTGTGTGTGTGTATTTGGAGGAGATGGTGTAAAGCTTAGTGTCATATATGGTGTATAAGCTGTCTTCACACAAATTTATCCCTCCTCTAGTCTCTCTATTTGTAGAGAGAAAGATGGGCACAGAGAGGGAGAGGAAGAGATAGAAGGGAAATGATAGATGGACAGAGAAAGAGAGTTAAGTATTTGTAAGAGATTTTTGATTTGAAGTGGAAATACTTCATTCATGATACCAAATGGGAAAGTATTACTATACGATCATAGCGAGACTACCAACTAATCCAGTTAAAACAGCTGATTACCTTTGGCTGAAACCACATGAAACTGGTCGGCCTCTTTTTGTTTTTTTTTTTTTCATACTAACAGTTGGTTAACTGTAAATCTTATATTTGGCAACATTCATTTCCCGAACACATATTTCATAATTGCATAGACGCAGACACATTGAGAGGAAGAGGGGGAAGGGGGACGAACCGAGGGAATTTGGAAATATTCTATTTTCAAAAAAGTAAAAATTACGGGAAATTTTGTAAATCAACTTGTAATTGCGTGTAGAAGCTTCATTTCATTATCATTCAGACGTGATGATCGGTTGTCTATACGATGACGATAGATATATGAATAGAGAGAGATCATATATTATTCTCATTATAAACAATTTTCTTGCAATTTTCTTATTGTAAATTGAATGTTAATGAATAATTTATAATTATATAGTTGGAAATGGCGAAGATGTGGTTACGGAATGGAATTTCGAGCGTGGATCATCTGGACGATGCTCTACCAATTCGGTCAGACGACTACAAACACCACCTAGTCCGGACACCGTTTCTCTTCCGGTTTTTCACAAGGTCAGTCCTTTTTTTTTTTTAATTTTTTTTTTAAAAGAAGAGAGTATGTTTTACTTTTGAACAAAGTTTACGCCTCCTGTGGAGAGAAATGAGAGAGGAAATTGTAAATGATTCACATGCATGAGTGGAAATTACATTGGACCAGGTTAATAACAAGGACGGAAACAGTCACGTAGAGAGAGGGAGAGAGAGAGTTACGAGTCTGATGAATGAGGGATTTCCAATTCTTTTTCTTCTTTCGTTTTTTTCCATTTCATTTATGCCCTTCTTCTGTCTGTTTTTTTTTCTGTTCTTTCCTCATTGACAGCTTTGATTCCGTATGATGTGGTCAGTTTGTAGTTAGAGAACTGGTTATGAAAACGTTTAAGAAACTTCTTCTTCCGGTCAATGAACGAAAAGGCTGTGAAAGGTGAGAGAGGAGAAAGGATATAAGTGAAATGAGAGTAAAGAGTGTGAAAGATGATGAGGAAGATAAGAAGCAAAGGTAGTCAGAGAGATAATTCATTTAAGAGTTCGTTAGTATGTGTGGTCATTGGTTGAGCACAAAGATTTTTCTATCTCTGATGTCAGAAAGAAGGAAGCAGAAGTTTTCGTGATAGTTCATCATACAGCTGCAGTTAGGAAGAAATTGGAGAGAGGGAGAAGATGATATAGAGGGAGAGAGAGAAAGAGCATAGAAGAGAGGATTAATTGTAAGATGAGGAGAGTGTATGTGTAGATGTTTCTTTTCTTCCAATAAAAACTACTAAATCTATTAAATTGAGCTTTATGATGTCCCATAGTGCACAACCAGATGGATGAAATGTGTTGTAGCTGAGCTTAATTGATGATTTAATGCTGATGGTGATGGTGTGTGTGTGTGTGTGTATGTGTGTATGGGTGTGTGTGAGAAAATGCTCTGAGAAATCTTAGGAAAAGCTTAATTTCATCTTTTAATAAAATCGTATAGAGAGAAGCATCGAGTGAGTCGTAGCGAGGGCTGGAAAACAATCCATTGAAATGTCTTAAATGTTTTTTGGTTAAAAAAAGAAAATATTTGTGGCTAATGGGTCACTACTGTTTATCAATGTTATTGAGGCAGTTATATTGAGATATTATGCGAGATTCTCAGACTCTTCAAAGAGCTTTTGCACGATCCGCGCTGAAAAATAACGAACGACGATGATGATGATGATGATGAGAAGGAGAAGGAGGATAGTGTGTTGATGGGAATGATGACCAAGTATATATGGAAGGAGATAGAGAGAGAGTGAAGGAGAGAGAGGGGTGAAGGTTGATTATATAAGAAAAAAAAGGAAGAAAAATAAACTTCCTAATTATTGAGCTAATGGATTGCGTTTGTAATAGTACCGGAAGTACATGAGATAACATCTGAATATGACGAACCTCAAAACAACATGGGTCACTCACGTCTGTTGAGGAGCTTAACAGCCAAGGTTGTAAGATTAATGTGAGAAGCAAAGGGATATGCATATCACTCAATAATCTTTTTCATTATGTCAAAAACTTTACAGTATATGCGAGAATATTAATAATCATAGTGGAAACGAGAGATCAACCGTTTGACGTCTGCATCATCTTAGCACAAAAATGAAATTGAAAAGCTTCAATGTCATATATGCAAATTAGGGAGAAGTTAGGGTGGGGGGGGGTGAGTGGAAGGGTGGTGAGAAGGGTTAAGGAAGGAAATCAATAATGGCATCTTACAAAGCGTAATATGATATGTGATTGAAATATTATAATAAAATAAGCATCAGCTTCTTCTATTTATAACTTGTGAATGTTCTTTTTCAGCCGCCACCCACACATACCATTCCTCAACCGCCACAACCAGAAGAAGCTCAAAAGAGTATACATGAACATATGCGACAGATTTTAAGCTGTTCAGCTTCTGCTTCTGCGACACCTTTAACTTCTCCAATGTTTCAACGACAAACATACACAACATCTTCCCAAAATAGATATTTACCTCTGCCCAACACCAAATATCGAGCTGATGGACAAGTGTGTGAAGCCTATTGGGCCAAAGGTACGCACTCATTGAATTTGAAAAAATATTTTTAAATTTGATTTTTAATTCTCTTCTCCTTCTTCTTCTGCAACTCTCATGCAAAATCTATTAGAGAACACAATTGGAAGTGGTTTTTCTTTGTTAGCCTTTCGGCATTTGCATCATCATCCTCTCACTTTCTCCCCTTCATAACACACACTTGTTTGTGGTCATCACTTTGTCTTTCGACCAGCAAGCATTGAAGTTTCGGCAACAATTGGCCGAATGTTTGTTTAAGCTCCGAAAAGGACCATTGTCAAGCAGAAATAAGCCTGTTACTTAGACCGTGACAATCTTTATGAACTCAAATCAGTCGTTGGTGAACAACTTAAATTTCATAAGCGGGACTTTCGTTTTGCAAACTACAACATAGACATAGAGAAAGCACAAATAATTATTGAAATTCATATATTTCAGAGTTTCATGATGATGCATCTCTTCACAACTCAACTCTATCACTTTTGAACACTGGACGTCGAAGTGTCATCTATGACATTCCGCATCATCAACAACAACAACAACACTACCAGCAGCAACAGCAACAGCAACAGCAGTTTTTCCAAAGAAATACTTCAAGTAACTTTCTGTTTCGCGACATAAGCTGATACTTTCTTCTTTTAAGCACGTAATTCCTCATCTTATCCCTTAAATGGAATTACACGTCCATCCTCAGCTGATCCATTTAAAAGAAATCGTTCAACCCCCATAGGGATGTTGAATTCTGGGGCAACTGCCACATTGAATCCATCTCTCGGGGGCTCCAATTCGAAAAGTTCTTCAAATGGTTTAAATAACCTGAAGCCATTGTTTTCGTTACCAACCATCCAAACTTCTTCACAAATCGACGACACATTTATTGCGCGCGAATGGGTCTTCAAGTAGTTCTCTCTATTCATTTACATCTTCGAACTGTTTGACTTTTAGGGAAATTTATCAAGCAGCGATTGTTGAGAAGGTGCCTCTGACTCTTATTGAGGGACAGAAAGGTTCAGGCAAATCTAGTATTTACAACCAGCTTGTCTATAATTCACCTTTCCATTCCGGACAGGTAGGAAGGAAATGACAATTTAATAGAAGATGATATGATTTAAGGCTTCTGATACTATCGATTCTGGATGTGTTTCTGATTCTTACACAATACCATCGAGAAATTATGAGTGGATGAGAGCAGTTGCTGGTCGAGTCGTTGCTTATCACACTTGCTCAATTCAAGATGTTAGTGGCTAATTAACATACTAATGATAAGCCAGACATTATAGGCTTCTTCCTGTGCTATCCCAGAGTTTGTGTGTAATCTGGGAGCTATGTTGGCTGCATCACCTGTTCTCAAAAGTTATTCAACTATTCTTCAAAAAGTAACAGCCAAAGAGAAATAATGTTACCTTTAACATCTTACTTCTTAGAAACCTGAACTGACGAACTTATTGAGACTCGAGGAATGCTTGAAATACGATAGCATCCATGTTTTCGAACGAGCTATAGCTGAACCTCTCTCTCAATTGAAATCAACCGATCAAGTAGTTTTTGATGTTATTAATCCGGAGAACTGAATTGTTAAGGGGAGTCTGGTCATTCTTATTGACGGAATAGATGAAGCTGAATACCATCGTTGTGAAGATGGACGCTCAATCGGAGTCTTCCTTTCCCAAGTAATTGATTACCTTCCTTTCTGGGTCCGAGTAGTTGCTACTACGGATGCTTCTTCTCTGTCCAATTTTGAAGCTAAGAAAAGAAGATCTGTTAGAATTGGTGAGGATGGTTTCAACAAGCATTTCTCAATCTCAACTTCTAGACGACTGCTCATTGGATGAGAGAGTTGTACGAGACAACCGTATGTACATTGAATATCGCATCGGAATGTTCCGTGAAGTCCGTTATCCTGTTTGAAACTCTCTTTAACCATTTGATTTTCAGTTGGAAGATTCGATTGTCACTTCTCGACGAAATTCTGTAATCGATCCTCTATCAGCTTTCTCTGAACAAGTTGTTGAAAAGGCTAATGGAAACATGCTATACATTCGATTGTTACTCCAATTATTGGAAACTGGAAAGCTCAGGATGGCTTCCTTAGCTTCAACAATCCTTCCCGATGATATATCAGGATTGTATGTCATGTACATGGATTTAACTTTTGCGTAAGCAATTTCTCATAATGAATTTAAGTTTATTTAATTTGTAGATTTGCAACTGCCTTCTCTCGAGTATCCCCAGCATTATCAGTTTTATTGGCATCGCTTAGGCCTTTGGATCGACAGACTCTCTCGGATATTTTGAATTCGGGACCAGCTGATACTCATGTAGATTTGAATGAAGTCAATCAAATGTAAATAAAACAAAAAAAATCTTTACTTAATCCATTCAATTCTACAGGTTGACTGTTCTCTCTCCTCTGCTTACGTATGGACCTGATGGAGAAATATCTTTACATCATCCCGCTTTCCGAGATTGGCTCATTCGTAACGATGCCTCTGCTAAGTATCCAACGGATGTTCGGTAATTCAAACTAGCCTAAGCTTCCATCTATATTCTTCTTTTTACAGAAAAGGACATTTGCTGATCGCCCTATGGTTGTCTAATATTGCTCCATTAGAAACGCCGCAGTTGTTCGAACTTGGACATCACCTCCTAAAAGCTCATCCTTACAAGTACATGCACGGCGAATATGTTCCAGAGGTTGGAATTAGTATACTCATTCCCTTTCTAGTTTATGATATTCAGCTGACTTCTTCTAAAGACGGTCAGATTTTGTGGATCCAGAAAAGCTCTGACAACATGGCAGCCGCTTTACTTGACAATCGCAATATGCACTATCCAAATACTAAAGTTAGTCGGCTTCTTCTTGTAGCCGGAGCTGATCCATCATATTGCCCATCCGTTTCTTCAAAATCTTCCGATATTCCTTTATCCGTTTCTCAAAAAGCGGTAGCAGCAGGTCACTGGTCCTTAGTCTCTCTGTTGCTACACTATGGGGCTGGCTTACATCCGGACATGGGACCATCTCTTCTCACAATTGCTGCCAAAAATGGGAACTTTGAAATTGTACGTCAATTACGAACCATGGATGATGATATATCAGAAGCTGTTAGAGAAGCTGCTGCAAACAACCATTTACAAGTAAAATTCTTTATCTTTTGCACTTTCTTAACAAAAGCTACTTGAAGATACTCATATTTCTGTTGTCAACTCATTGGCCTTCGGAAAATAGTAAACTCGAGGCGATTGAGGAAGCTGTTTATGCAGCAGCTGCACAAGGTAAAGTTTCTGCAGTCAAAACTTTAAAAAAATGTTTGAATGTTAAGGACATGTATCTATTTGTCAACATTTGATTGACAATCATTCCCAAGTTGATTTCTCCAGACCTATGAGAGTTGCTTGTGAGAATGGAAAAGCTGCTGTTGTTCAATTTTTCATTTCACGGTAATCTGATGAGAGGCAATATCAGTTGACGTTGACTTTCTTTCAGAGGAGCTACATTGTCTTCTTTGTCATGGCCATCAGATAAGTCTACGATTCATTGCGCAGTCGAAAGTGGAAGCTGGGATTTAGTCGTATGTTGCCTTATTCTTAACGTTTGATGGTTTCGCTGTAGGTGGCCGTTCTTTCACTTCCTCAATCTAATCTCGAAGTGACTGATGCTGAAGGGCGAACTCCTTTGATTTGTGCTGCCCGGTGTGGTCATGTTGGTCTTATCGATATGTTGATTAATAAAGGTAAGACATGGATGGCGAGAAAGGTTTAGACACCTCCCTCTCATAGAGAGAGCCGTGATGACTCCATCGTTATTGTTCATTACAAACACAATATTCAGGTGCAAATGTGAATCATCGTGACATAAGTGGATGGACTGCCATAATGCATGCTATTCGAAATGCTCATTTGGCTTCTGTGCAATTATTGCTAGATAAGGAAGTTGACATTCACGGCATAGATGTAAATGGTTAGAATGTTCGAGATAGTAAACTCTCATAAAACAACTTTTAAAGGATACACATTAGCTCACTTAGCTTGTGCATATGGCACTCGTCCAATTATTGACCGTTTATTAGAATATGGAATGATGTTCGAAGAAAAGGA